TCAAGACACTTCACTGAACAGAAGTCATGTTGTTCTAGTACAACAAGTGAGGGCTGTGTATGATGAAAATCCACTGCAGTCCGCATCGCTCTCTAGACGGCTGTACTGGAATACTGGAGATCAACTCTCAATGATCCACAGGGCCGTCACAAGAGAACACTTGTTAACAAGTGTTGAACATGTCTCTGGCCCTTCAGGGTGAGTGCGTCCATGGATATTGGTTGCGCATTCTCCGCTCTCCTGGAGCGCTCACCAATCAGCCTCGTGTTGATTGAAGTATGCTCCACAATCCTTTGTCCTGGCCTTTAAGTGTGGGGTATGGCAAAGCTTCGAAGAGCAAAATATAATCCCGTAGACAAGACTGCTCGCACTAGCCTTGGAGGGTAATCTGAAAAGAAGAGCGAGTGGGCCTGAGGGAAGTGGAGAAGATTTAAGTCTTTGTCTTTGAGGCCTGGGAGAAAGGCCTATGGGGGCTTATCTCAGTTTCTCCACCATGAATCATAAAGCCTTCTTCTCAGAGGGTTTGGGTTGAAGAACAGAATCTCTTACATATAGCTGCTTAAAGGAGAAGCATGCTCTACTGTAATATTAAAAATAATCCTTACCCGAGAAGCCGGGTAATCATGTCCAAATGTGTTTCTTGAACTCTTTTAACTTGGACAGGTGGCCATGAAATCACTTTACCCTCACCAACCAATATGCAATCCAAAATAGACTTCTCAAAGGGTTTGGGTTGAAAAAGATCTTCTTAAAAGAAAATAATGCTCTGGTAAATAATAACACATTAAAATGTGAATAATAATAATCCTCACCTGAGAACCAGGGTAATCATGTCTAAATATGTATCTTGAACTTTTTTAAGTTGTCTCTGGTGGCCTTGAAGTCACTTTTTCTCACAAAGCAATTGAGGTATAAGGCCCAATATGGACTAATAATCTACGGTTTAATCGTAAATGAATGTATTGGATGCAGGTGTGCTGTGTACCCACCATGCTTCTTAAATAGATTAACCAGCAAACATATGGGCCCTGTCCTGTGAGAACTTATAGTTTGAAACTCCAAGAACAAGATCCATATTTCAGCTCGCTCAAAACCAAAGATTCATTTGGCATCTCAGATCAGTTACACTGTAAAAAAAAAAATATGATCAATAAGTTATGACAACATGCTTTTACATTGCTTTAACTCATTAAAATAAGTTCAGCAATTTTCAACTTTTTTATGTTATACAAGATTCAACTTATTTTTAACTTATAACTTAAAGGGATACTCCACTTTTTTTGGAAATAGGCTCATTTTACAACTCCCCCAGAGTTAAACTGTTGAGTTTTTACCGTTTTTGAATCCATTCAGCCGATCTCCGGTTCTGGCGGTACCACTTTTAGCATAGCTTAGCATACATCATTGGAGTTGACAAGACCATTAGCATTTCTCAAAAAAAAATGACCAAAGAGTTTTGATATTTTTCCTATTTAAAACTTGACTCTTCTGTAGTTACATCGTGCACTAAGACCGACGGAAAATGAAGAGTTGCGATTTTCTAGGCTGGTATGGCTAGGAACTATACTCTCATTCCTGCGTAATAATCAAGAAACTTCAATGCCGTACCATGAGAGCAGCAGGCGTAATGATATGACGCAGCGCCTGAAAATAGGCCACCTTCCGTCAACACAACGGAACTATTTTCAGGCGCTGCGTCATATCATTACGCCTGCTGCTCTCATGGTACGGCATTGAAGTTTCTTGATTATTACGCAGGAATGAGAGTATAGTTCCTAGCCATACCAGCCTAGAAAATCGCAACTTTACATTTTCCGTCGGGTTTCTCACAGGTATGTCTTGAAGGTCCAACACATTGAAAGTTTCTGGGATACTGATGACTACACTGAACAAAATTATAAACGCAACACTTTTGTTTTTGCCCCCATTTTTCATGAGCTGAACTCAAAGATCTAAGACCTTTTCTATGTACACAAAAGGCCTATGTCTCTCAAATATTGTTCACAAATCTGTCTAAATCTGTGTTAGTGAGCACTTCTCCTTTGCCGAGATCATCCATCCCCCTCACAGGCGTGGCATACGTTCAGTGTAGGATTGCCAATACCTGCCAATACCAGCCAATACCTGTGTTTTCAATTGAAGCACTGTTATACATTTATACTACCGGTCACAATTGTGACCATTAACAAATTTACAAGTCTTACGAGCAAAATATATATGCAGGAGTATAATTCTCAAAATATATCAGTAGTAGTAGTAGACCCTTTAAAGAATATATGTACAAAATATGATAGTTCTATCTGTTAATTAAGATGTTTTACATACTACTTTTTGTAGAAGTCTGAGGAAGACATCTTCTTCTAGATGTGCAAGCAGGAATTAAACTGACCTTTCACACTAGTCACATGACATTAATAGATTTTAATCAAGACAATCTATTTTGTCATTTAAAAGTTGAATTTCTTCCCCAAAGTCAATAACAACATTTTTAGAGCTTCCAGAAATAAGAAAAAAGATGCGGTCACAATTGTGACCGGTGGGATTAAACGGGTTACTCAAAGCACAAGCTCACTCTCCATGTCTTGCCTTTTTCAGCTATTCTAAACCCCTCATTTCTGGTGTCTGACACTAATGTAAACATGATAACAATACGATAAATTAAGAAAAACACTCTCTTCTTCTTGGTCTCAGTACAATAAAACAAAAACACACCCTCCCCCACCATTTCCAGTGGACTAGGAGTGGTGACTGTCCATCTTAAGCTAGCCAGGTGGAATAGTTTCCTTGGCAACAAACTGACATTTATCTGTGTACTTGCCCTGGGGTATTTGAGGTAACAGACAGAGACACCTTTATAGACAGTGAGTGACTTGCTAGCGTTTATGAGTCAGTGCTTTTATATGAATTTGCATGATTTGAGTGCAGGTCATGTGATGGGATAACCAATCACAATAATATGCTTTTTATTCAAAATGTTACTGCTTTGTGTTAGTATTCTTGAAGTTGCAGGTTGTAGATATTCTCCATAATTATTTCTCCATAATTTAGGCATTTATAAATGCATAAATGCATACAAATAAATAAATAAATGCAAATAAAAACATAAAATTATCTTTTTCTTCAGTAATTCTTTTGTCACCCCCTACAGGACAGCATGACATATTACACTGGTGTGTGCATGAACTAAAAAATAAAATAAAATAACTTTATATAATATTGCTGCACTTTTTTTCTTTGTCAGTGCTAAATTGCATTTTAAAATTTACATCACTAATATGTTGTACTGCTTTTCAGAGAGAGTACAGCTTTTGCAACAAAAAACAACAACAAAGTTTTCTGATCAACTCAGCAAAAGAGAAAATTCCTCAGCACACCTGGGGGATTCATAAAAGAGTTTTTATATGAATGGGGGACGAGGGGAATCTCCTTCCATAGTGCCTGTCTTGGTGTGTCTTTTCATGGCCAGCTGCACTCTATAAGCATTTGTGAAGAATGTTAAAAAACAAAGGACATCTCATATTACATCATGTCCATGGAAAACTCAGGGGCCCAAAATTCTGATTCGGATCACCGGGAGCTACAATCGTCAAGAAAACAAACCAACCCCCTGCACAAGAGAATTTTTTGTTCTTTTTGTTTTTTCATGATAAAGTCCCAATAAAACTTTATCATGGATAAATGAACATACAGGACAGAAAATCACATGTTTATAGTTTGAGGTTAATGTTGCCACCTGTCCCACAACATCTATATGTTAAATGTCTGAGAAGTTTAAAGAGTCAATCTCAAAAGCTTTATAAGAGTTGTTGATGACAAATGGTCAGAAGCAGACAATCACCTTTTGCCATTTATGTCATTCTCTGGCATTTAAAAAGAAAAATCCGTAACTGGGCAATTCAAGCACAAAGCCATCCTGTATACAGTGACATGGCCCTTGGGAGGATGTAGGAAACTAACTCCAGTGTTGCCAGAAAGTCATTTCTGCTTCCTCAAAAGCCCTGTACAAACACTTGAGTTAGCCCTTCTGTGACTGAGAGTTAAAACTGTATTTTAATCATTATCTAACTAAAAGCTGAGAGAGTGTGTAGATCCGTGATCAAAAGTTGTGTCTATGGTAATATGATTGGCATTTGTAGTCACAGAGCTACATTCCTTTTGATTTGCACAAGCGTTATTATTGACCTCTAATCCACTTTCGCTCAAGGCAGAAGGCCACAGTATTTGACTTTTTTCAAAAGCTATGTGTTTGCCATTCAAACATAGTTTGTAAGACACCAAGAAATCTACAATTAACCACTTAACATGCCACATACTGAATTTTTTTAAAAAGGACAATGACAAAGTGGACATTTATGTAAAAGTTACATTATTGTATGCTCATTTTGTACAAACTTATCTGCATAAACTGGTTAGGCTACCACCTAGAAATGAGAAGTAATTCAGAGAAAAATTCTTCCTCATAAAAAGCACTCCAGACCACATCAGATAAAGAGTTAAGAAATCCTTAAATAAGCAAACCATAAATTACACAAAAGTCTCTCTCTCTCTCTCTCTCTCTCTCTCTCTCTCTCTATATATATATATATATATATATATATATATATATATATATATATATATATATATATATATATACATATATATATATATATATATATACATATATATATATATATATATATATATATATATATATATATATATATATATATATATATATATATATATATATATATATATAATTATTATTATTATTTGTTTCATTTGTCATGTTTGTAATATCCTTTTTAATTAGAGTGGGAATTAATTTAATGTTAACTTTACTGGGAATTAATTTAACGTCTCATTTCCACTTTAAGTGGTCCCTGATGTGAATAAAAGTTAACAAATATTTTTACATTTGATGATTTGACCAGAGAATGTCTATCACTGCGAGTCAAAATACCGCAATGTGAGCGTGTGGAACTTTCGACACACTGCATTATCCGGGGAAGATCATGGTCGTTGCACCACTGTCAGGAACTGCCAGAGCCCGTCTAACTGCGCAGGATTTGAAAGATGGCGGATGTTCCTAGTAATGCGCCAGAGCGTAAGTCTAATAAATGTGTATATCATTAACTCTAAGGACATTGAATCCACACTTTTTTTAAGTGCCATCTGTTTACAGTTTAGTTTAAACTACTACCCTAGTTTAAACTATACACATATCCAACTACACGTTTCGCTGTGCCTCTCTGATGTCTATCTTAAACTGACATCTGTCATTTTAGTCTGGTAACGTTACAACAACTGCCTGTGTCAGCTGCTTAGACGTTTATCTACTGTTTAGTTTAACATCCATAAATATAGTTAAAATTGCAACATGCTAGCAAATTAAGTGTGAACTTCTGAACTTGTTGTGTCTGAGTCCATCTGTCTTTATGTTTTTTAATAATCTCAGTTAAAATAAAGAAAATGGAGGCATCTGTACATGATTCACACTTTATATGTCTGTTTACTTTTTTTAAAGTCTGTTGTCATTCTGTCTAGACTGTCCGGGCACAAACAGTGAACAGGCTGGTAAATCTTCATCATGTCAGGGATGCCCAAACCAGAATATATGTGCGTCCGGTGCCGCTAAAGCCCCTGATCCTGGTATACATTGATTCATTTATGTAAATACATATTACACTTTTACTGCTGTATGTGAACAGTTTCATTCTAGATGTTTCAAATGTAAAAAAAAAAAGAAAAAGAAAGAAAGATCAAATTGCATGTCTTAATATGACTCTTTAAGATGTTATTTTCTTAGATTTGTTATTGGATGATGATTGATGTACAACATCAGTGTTCTTTTAATTATAATAGCTTGTTAGCTCCATCTAAATCTGCTGTGTATGACATTGTTTTTTGTCATTGCAGCCATAGAGGAAATCAGACAAAAAATGACCTCTGTGAAGCACAAAATTCTAGTTTTGTCTGGCAAAGGGGGTGTTGGGAAGAGCACATTCAGCGCACATCTGTCTCATGCATTAGCTAGTGATGACTCCAAAGAGGTAAGTTCCCTCATTTCTGCCTGGCTTCATTAGTTTTAGATATGGTGTCTGAGATAATTTTTTTAAGATTTTTTTTTCATGCAATTATTTGTAAATTGTGTTTTTCTTATTGTTTAAGGGTCGCATACAGCTTTAAGTATATTCTTTTTTTGGGGATTTTTATTTTATTTTTAGGATTAACAGTGTTAAGCCACAAATACAAATATGATTCAATGAAGCCTGACTTGTGAAATCTTGATAATATTGTCTCCTATCAGATGAGTTCGCTGACCTTCTTTTCATGTGTTGTTGTTGGCTGTAAAGGAGGAAAACAATCCCACACAATGCCTGACACCACTCTGAATTGTCTTCAATATATATATATATATATATATATATATATATATACACACACCTAAAGGATTATTAGGAACACCATACTAATATTGTGTTGTGTTTGACCCCCTTTCGCCTTCAGAACTGCCTTAATTCTACGTGGCATTGATTCAACAAGGTGCTGAAAGCATTCTTTAGAAATGTTGGCCCATATTGATAGGATAGCATCTTGCAGTTGATGGAGATTTGTGGGATGCACATCCAGGGCACGAAGCTCCCGTTCCACCACATCCCAAAGATGCTCTATTGGGTTGAGATCTGGTGACTGTGGGGGCCATTTTAGTACAGTGAACTCATTGCCATGTTCAAGAAACCAATTTGAAATGATTCGAGCTTTGTGACATGGTGCATTATCCTGATGGAAGTAGCCATCAGAGGATGGGTACATGGTGGCCATAAAGGGATGGACATGGTCAGAAACAATGCTCAGGTGGGCCGTGGCATTTAAACGATGCCCAATTGGCACTAAGGGGTCTAAAGTGTGCCAAGAAAACATCCCCCACACCATTACACCACCACCACCAGCCTGCACAGTGGTAACAAGGCATGATGGATCCATGTTCTCATTCTGTTTACACCAAATTCTGACTCTACCATCTGAATGTCTCAACAGAAATCGAGACTCATCAGACCGGGCAACATTTTTCCAGTCTTCAACTGTCCATTTTTGGTGAGCTCTTGCTAATTGTAGCCTCTTTTTCCTATTTGTAGTGGAGATGAGTGGTACCCGGTGGGGTCTTCTGCTGTTGTAGCCCATCCGCCTCAAGGTTGTGCGTGTTGTGGCTTCACAAATGCTTTGCTGCATACCTCGGTTGTAACGAGTGGTTATTTCAGTCAAAGTTGCTCTTCTATCAGCTTGAATCAGTCGGCCCATTCTCCTCTGACCTCTAGCATCATCATTCTTTGTAAACCCTAGAAATGGTTGTGCGTGAAAATCCCAGTAACTGAGCATATTGTGAAATACTCAGACCGGCCCGTCTGGCACTAACAACCATGCCACGCTCAAAATTGCTTAAATCACCTTTCTTTCCCATTCTGACATTCAGTTTGGAGTTCAGGAGATTGTCTTGACCAGGACCACACCCCTAAATACATCGAAGCAACTGCCATGTGATTGGTTGATTAGATAATTGCATTAATGAGAAATTGAACAGGTGTTCCTAATAATCCTTTAGGTGAGTGTGTGTGTGTATATATATATATATATATATATATATATATATATATATATATATTTTGGTATGCGTATAAATAATATATGTATACATACATATGCATGTATTTATGCTATTGTTTTTAAAAGTGCAAGTAGAAGTTACTCAATAATTTGAAAGGATTTAAGTTATATTTAATCGCACTATTATACAGAATTATGTTGAAAAGTTAGAGTTGGGGTAGATTTTACTTAATTTTAATACAGCAAAAAAAAGTCAATTTCTTGTTTGTTTGTCTTTTCACTTTTTCAAAACAAATTAATTTGAACTTTACAGATTTTTTTAAAGGTGCTGTATGTAATTTTAGTGGAGTTTACTAAAGCATAAAAATACCATAATATGTTTGCAGATATTTAGGCAATATGCTAAGTTCACATACTTGCCAAAAAATAATGCCATGAAATGTAAAATGTGCGTTCCATGTCCCAATGCCTGTTTTTATTTTGAACTGTGTGATCCCGCCCACAGCCAATTTACCCAATAGTATTTCTACACCCCGGTTTGCCAGTTGGCGGGAAACTTAGCGTATTGCAGCCATGGAAGTCAGCAAACAAACTAGGTCAGCGATCGCAGATGGAAGCCTTGGCATCCATCTAAAAAGCCCTATCACCACCAGAGACATTAAAATGCAGATAAATCAACTGATCAACTTTCAGTGTGTGTGCTCCTTCCTGTTTCTTGTCCTCAATCTGGCAATGCACATGATCGTTGAGTCTGAGGAGGAGGAGGGGGTGGGGAAGCGACTCTCTCCGATATTTTGAATTTGGACACATGCAGTACACATTTCAACCACTAGCTGAGTGTCAATATTACATACTGCATCTTTTAAGTACTATTTTCGTGGTAGAAAAAATTCTTTGAATCCATAGAAGTAAATTATGTACAAAAAAATGTATCTGCTTCTTTCATCCGCCCTGATGCCGTTTTTGTTTTTTGAACTAACTCCACAAACGCCTGTTGGATGTCATGAGTTACATCTATGTTGCCTTCGACTTAGTCAACTACTGTAGATTTTAGTAGAAATATGATCGCTAAATATGATCACAGCTTTTGTTTTGTCCAATATTTCTCTTACGATTGTGATACCAGTGAATGTGTGTGTGTGTTTTTTTTTATCAATACTTAATTATGACTTCCCCTTTTCGAATAAAACTATTTTTTTGCACTCATCAAAATATGAAGTGCCACAACTAATTTAAATTGGCTGAACGCCTAACTCATACCTTTTGATTAATTTTCATTCTAGCTTGTTATTCAATATACTATTTACAGATTGCCTTACAGCACTATGAACATTAAGTCACATTTCCAAATTCGTTCAGAAACATTTCTGAAATCATAACAGACATTTTAAGTGCAGTGCCTTTAGCAAAATATTATTGTATTAATCAGAATAGGAAAACCAACCAACCGCTGAGGGGATAACATAACACTTATGCTTTTGAACTTGGATGAATCACTATGAGAGTGCAGTGAACAGGAAAAGCTTCTGTTTGTATCACAGCATCCGAGCCAAGCACTTCACAATAATGTTTCTCTGTCTGAGACTGCTGGCTATTTTTAGTGCATTGTAGGGCTCTGCGGCAGAAAGAGCTGTGTTTACCAGGTTCATTGAGAACAGCACGGCTCTGCCTGGGACTCTTTCTGAGCCAGTGCACTAGGGAGAGCTGTATTGATCTCGTCTCAACAAACTGCGGCCACAATAGTGCTGTCAGCGTGTGCAGACTGAGTCCGCTGTTTACCCTTTGGCAGCTCACTGAATGAAATAATCTGCAATCCCTCAAACAATTTAAATCTCACAGCTTGGGGACATCCACAATGTGAAGCGATGAAGCGATCCAATGTGGCCGACATCTAAAAAGCCGAGAAGAATCTAGTCCCACGCTCTCTGCTTCCAGTATTCAGAAGTGCCTTTAAAAGGTCTCACTTTGAAATTATGGGTCATGTTTTTTTCTTTTCTTTTATATCCCACTCTCCATTGTTAGATTGCAGTTTGTGCAACTGCATTTTTCATATTGATTTTTTTCTTCAGGGACTGTTACTATGTCTCAAGCACACGGTATATGTAGTAATGGGACGCTGTAGCCTGCAGAAAATAATCGAGGTGATGTCTTTTTTTGTGATCATCTGAGGTGAGTGTAGGACTATGGTCACCCTGGCTGATGCTGTTGACAGTGGAAACCCTATGTGTGTGTTGGTATGATCTCCAAACAGCACCTTCCACTCAGGCCTGTGTGCTGATAGCTCACACTTATCTGCTGTGTCAAAAGTCCCCCTGTCAATTCCTTGAGCCCAAGCTTGAGTGGGAACTTCCTGTTGAATGCCTTGTGTGGTGTTCACACTTCCTGAGAACTGAAAGAATCAGGAAAGCGTTGAGAGGCCCTCCTAGTGCAACCTTCAGCAGATAAGAGACACTTTACCCCACATGCTTGATATCAGTCATAAGGAGTTTATTTCACATGGAAAAAACTGGATGTGGAACAGAAAGAGAGACCTCGCATCTGATGTTAATTTTATGATAAAGTCTTTCAACTTTATTAGCTTTAATATGACCTTTTCTCTTCTTATTCTTTGTTTTTTTATATACAGTTGTAATCGAAATTATTCAACCCCCGTTGCAAATCAGGTTTATTGGCAAAATTTACAGACTTTCAGCTGTTTGTAATGAACAAATCAAACCAAATTCAACTGAAAATGCCACTTTTAATGACTTCTGCAGTCTCAAAATTATGCAACCCCTTCATGGCAAGCATTTTTAGTACTTAGTAGAACACCCTTTTGCTGTTATGACCTGCTGCAAATGAGATGTACAACCAGACACCAGCTTCTGGCAGTGTTTCTGAGGAATCTTAGCCCATTCCTCATGAGCAATGGCCTCCAGTTCAGTAATTTTCTTTGTGTGCTGCAACTGCCTTCTTGAACTCCATAGAAAATCTCTGGTGGGATTTGAAGTCAGGTGACTGTGATGGTCACTGTAGAATATTCCAGGACTTCTTCTGCAATCAAGCCTTGGTGGAATATAAGGTATGCTTGGGATCATTGTCCTGTTGGAAGGTCTAACTCAGCAGATGCTTCATTCTTCTTCCTCCAGACATACCACTGATCCATAGGGCCGAAAAGTTTCAGTTTTGTTTCATCGCTCCACAGAACAGAATCCCCAAACTTCTGTGGCTTATTTATATGATTTTGAGCACTTTTGGGTCAGTAGTGGTGTATGTCTTGGAGGTCTGGCATGGAAACCGCATGTGTTACTGTGAAACTCTTACGGTGAAAACTGAAACCTTAGTGCCTGTTGCCGCCAAGTCTTGCTGCAGGTCTTTTCCAGTCACTCAAGGGTTTTTCTGAACTTTGCCTTGCCTTCTCAGAAATCTGGTTGCAGCCGTTGATAGCTCCCTTTTTCTGCCCCCTCCA